CCTTGGTCAGCCATGTGTGAATCAAGCCTCTAACACCACACCACCTGCCGGCCCAAATATTACCAATTTTTGTATGTTAATTTTTGCAATTTTACTGAATTATTTGATTACTTCTCACAGGCTTTTGGTAGAATTTTTAGAGTATGCACATATAAAAATCATGTTATGTGCAAAGACAGACAATTTTACTTATTTTACGATTTGTATATCTCTTGTTTATTTTTCTTGCCTTCATGCTCTGGGATATCCAGTACATGCTAAATAATAGTGGTGAGTATGGTACCTATATTTATCTTATTCTGATTTTTCAACCTTTCACCATTAAGAATGACGTTAGCTGTAAGCATCTCACATAAGGGACTTCAAAAAGTTCATGGTTAAAAGAAATTAAAATATTAGTTTATTTTAGTGGATAAAGTGTTTTAAACTATACATAGTTTTTTTCTAGTATTTTGCATGAAATTTTGAAGACCCCTTCATAGATATCTTCATTTAAACTCGATGAACATAGATGTTTCTTTTACAGATTTGGAAAGCTTTTTTCATTATTTCTGTAAATAAGCCTCTAATTATTTCTCTGTTCTTTCTGGGACTTCAGAATGCATATATTGCCTTGCTTGATAGTGTCTCATATGTCATATAGGATGCCTCCACTGTTTTTATTACTATCATTTTTTCTTTTTTTCTAACTACATAATGTCAAATTGCCTGTGTTTGAACTTTTTTCATTTCTTTTCTACTTCATCAGCTCTGGTGTTGATGCTATTGGTGAGATTTTTCCGTTTAGTTATTGTATTTTCAGCTTTAGTTTGTTTGATTCATTTTTAGGGTTTCTATTTCTTTGTCAAATTTCTTATTTTATGCGAACCCTTTTGTTGATTTTGTTTCGTTACCTATCTGTGTTCTCTTGCAACTTACTGAACTTCTTTAAGACAATTATTTTGAATTCTTTGGTAGGCAGTTTATAGGTCTCCCTTTCTTCAGTATCAACTATTGGTTCTTTATTTTGTTCCCTTGTGGTGTCATTTTCTTTGATTTTCATGAAACTCACAGCCTTTTGTTGGTGTCTGCATATAAAGATGTATGTGCCTCTTTTAGTCTTTACACACTGGCTTTAGCAGAAAAACCTCTTAGCCATTCAGCCTATCTAGAGATTCTGGTTCAGCCTTTGATGGGGTTCAAGAATAGGATTGCTGTTGGTGTCCTCAATCAGGCCTATATATACCTGGACCATCAGGTGTATGGTCCTACCACCTGGGGCCACAGAGGTCAGTTTAATGCCTCTGTTTGTGTAGATTGTCCTGGAGACTCAGTCTTGAATCATATTGAATGAGCCTGTGGGGACTGGACTGGTGCCTAGGTCCATGAAATCAGACTGGTACTCGATTTCACAGGGAAGTTGTGTTTTCACTCTACTCTCCTTCGCTTTGTATGCTGCACTGTGCTGTATGGTCTTAGGGGAGAAGCAACATGGATAATGTGAAAATCCTTTCTACTCTCTTCAATATATTTTGAAAAAGAATTGTTTATTTGATTTATTATTGCTATTATTATTATTATGCTATTTGCTATAGGGCACATGTGGTCACCAGAGAGAGACACAAAGAGAAAAAGGGAAAGTGAAAAAGCAAGCTGCCAGGTCTGGGACTAAAACCACTGTCAGCCATGTGGGTGGGAGTCCAGTACCTTAACACCATGCCACCTGCTGGCCCTCTTCAATGTATTTTTTTTATTATTTCTGTTCTCCACTCAAGTCTTATGAAAGTATTTCAACACATGGAGAGTTGTTAAAAATGATGTTTCTGCAAGAAGATGAGCACTGGAAACTCCTATTTTAGCATCTTGCCGATGTCTTTCTTCAGATGCACTGAAATTTATTTTTGATGATGATAAAGAAAGAAATTAAAAAGTGAAATCACAATACACACATATTGTTGGAATTAAAGGCAATATTTACATGGGGTTGGTCCATAGCACAGTAGTTAAATGCTATCCATAGAAAGTTGGATCTCATATGGCTGATCAAGTTCAAAGCTCAGCACCTCCATTCTGAAAAACATGCTAGGCACATGAAAGGAGGAAAAGAGTTGGTGGTATGACCATGTCCCAGTGAATGACGATTTTCTCTGTCTCTCTCTCTCTCTCTCTCTGATGAGAACACATGCTCATTGGAATTTTTTTAAAAAGACAATATAAAAAATAATACATTTCCATGGGCTGCTAAAAAACAAAAACAAAAACAATCACAAAGACTTTTAAATATATATATATCATTGTATGTGGTGGAAGTCACAAGCTTATTGTCACAAAGGTCTGGAAGCAGCAGAATAAGAATTAGACTTTTGCATTGTAAAAGATGTTAAGTATTTCATGTGAAATGGAAGAATGGAAACAGATTGGCTGCTCAACCTCATAAACTAGAACAGAGCTCTCTTACTCAAGAAAAGAAGCAAGAATAGCCTATTTCTCTATTACTGAAAACTATCTGAGAAGGTAAGTAAATAAAGACACAATATCATACATGGTAAAGAATTTGTTGATCAATTCTCTAATCTCCAGACTTACCTCGAGCAAAAGAGAAGATGGTAAATCATTCCAAAAGTGAGAGGAGAGGAATTGGCTTTTGGAAGCACTGAAAAACCACTATATTACAAGTGGTGGAATAAAAATAATAATAATAACATAGAAGGGAAAGGAAAGAAAGTAGAAATAAATGATCCCAACAATAATCGCAGATATGCTAGTATAAGTAGTTATCTTAAACCTGTTTAAGATATTTAAAAGAAAGTCTATAAGACTGTGAGTCTATATAAGTTGGAATAGTGTGAATAATAGTGAGTTAAAGGTAATATACATAGACTTTTATTTTTCAATTGAAGAACAAACATTATTTTAGTAGACATTGATAAATTATTAAACAATCATCAGTGTTCAAACTACTGGTATAATTCAACACACACACACACACACACACACAAACACACACACACACAAACACACATACCTGTATATAGATATAGATAGCTAAGTGGTAGAATTGCCTTTCTATATATCTATCTATGTATATATTTATCTATATAGGTAGAAAGATATATATCTACATGTACAGGAAAAGGAGTTGGACATGTTTTATAGGTAGAGAAAACATTATTTTGTATCAAGACATACAACTAGATGAAAAAGATGTGGCGAGGCAGAGACTTTCAGATGTATTCTGTTTAGGATAAGACAATATGTTGTCAGGATACTGATGGGAACACATTCAACTATTCACTGGCTCAATTCCTAAAGTTTGCACAGCAGATGGCCCGAAAGCCAGTGACACCATTCTTTACTGCCCGGAAATGACGTGCTTGAGCATTGCTTTCTAACTGGGTATTCAGAACACAGGCAGCCTGGAAGTACATATTTCTAATGCATACATTCCATGGAGGCAAGGTCTAGTGCCAAAGCGTGTATCCTCAACCAGCCTCAGTAGGTTGGCCCGCACCCCATGCTGCCCTCATGTTATAGACTTTGCCTGCCCAAGCAGGCATGGCGGACTAACGTTTTTACACCAAGGCCTCCTGTGGAATCAAAATCTTCACTTAGTGCTGGGAAGACTCAGGCTACAGAGGCGCCCAGGACCTGAGTCACGGCATGGACATGGGTAGTCTCTCATACTTTTGGAAAGAATACTAAAGTGGAGAGTGCAGGTAGCAGAGTTCAACCCCATAATAGCCTACCTGCCTACCTTCCATGCAGCATTCCTTAGTCTTCAGTTTAGTGATTATTTGGGTAGGCTTTTATTTATTTATTAACTTTGGTCTAAACCCTTTGTTTAAAAGCCTGGAGCTGGGACCAACAGTTGGCATAATGGTTGTGTTGCTGGACTCCCATGTGGTCGACCATGGTTTGAGTCCCAGACCCAGTGGCTTAAACTCACACCTGAAGCTTGGGCATGCATGTGATTGTGGCGTGGCCATCTCCCCCAGGGGGTGATTTCTTGCTTTCTGTCTCTCTCTCTCTCTCTATCTTTCTGGCGAGAATATGCACCCTATAACAACAACAACAACAACAACACCCTCTCCAAAAAAAATAAAAATAAAAAAGCCTGGAGCTACTAGGAGTTTAACTTTAGTGGTCTAGGGAACTCTACATTTCCTTAGTCTTTTCCTCTAACTATATACATTTCTGAGGAGGCCATCTTTATCTGTTTTGCTTGTGAGTTTAGGCCTCTCTTTCTAGCCAAGTGCTGTTTTTACATTTAAATTGATCAAAAATAAAACAGGAGCAGTGCCATGTTAGCAAAACTAAAGACTCCAACAGAGTGTGGGAAGAAAATAAGATTGCAGGGGGCCAGCAGGTGACATGGTGGTTAAGGTCACTCCCACAAGGCCTACCACATTTCTAGTCCGGGCCTGGTGGCTTGCTTTCTCACTTTCTCTTGCTCTTTCTCTCTCTTTCTCTGGTCAAATTAAAATAAATGCATGAATAAATAAATAAAATTAAATAAGTAAATCTTTGTTTTTAAAAAGTTGTAAACCAGAGGCCCAAAGTCAAAGGAAGTGAACCAATTCAAAAATTCAGATTCAGGTTTGAAAATGAGTGAAAATACTAGCATCTACTCAGTCGACAATTTGTTTCACTTGAGTTCACTATTAAATCAGCAAATCAACATTTCACGGATTACTGGGGGGATGTGTGGAAGAGTACAGTTGCCTGTTGGGAGCCAACTTAGGTTAGTTTTGGAAAGTGAACTTAATGTGTGGTCAGAAACTCTAGTAGAGAAAAAGCAAAAAGAAAAACAAACTTCAGACTCCTCATTCACATAGACTCAGACTGGAGGAAGGATCTCATCACATCTGAGGATCACTCTCCAAAGTCCTTTCTGCCAGATAGAAACATAATTTATGCATCTTTATGATAACAATTCTATCTTTCAGCTACCATGGCTAAAGAGAGAATTTCAAGCTAAACATTGTTTTAATTCATTTTATTTCTAGTTTCCCAGTTCATTTGAACATCAGAAAAAACTTTTCTATGCGAATTGTCCTAGGAGTAAAGAAGGTAAGTGATAAGGAATAAAATTCTCAACTTTTAAGCAGACTTCTGTAATCTGAAGCAGAAATCGTACTTTTGAAATTCCAAAAAATATTTCTAAGTATGAGACCCTTGGGAGAGAACTGGGTGTTTAAAAGTTGTATGTGTTTGTTTGCTTGTTTCTTTTCTTTCTTCTTTTTTAAAAATTACCTTCAAATAACAGAAGACAGAACCTGGAATATCTGTCATGAATCATTCAGAAGGACAGCGGTATGGTCATACATATCTTATTTTTCTTTAAGCCCCTACTACACCAAACGAAAGTTCAACAAACATGCACAAATCCTGGAGAGTAGACACAGTGAGGTATTGGATGCATTGAGTCTCTGAGAAGTTCCAAATTTCATTTCTCTTTCTCTTCTGTACAAGCTCTTAAATACATCTGAGGTGATGATGAAGTATGTAAAGAGTACCCTGGCTTTTTAGCAATCTCAGGTCCTTGTTCAGTGTTCTGAGAATTCGAGTAGTATAATAGAAACATTTTGGGCACTCTATCAAATTAATTATTTTCTGTCATACTTCTTATTCATGCATATTGAATGTCATGAAGATACTCTGATACAATGACTGATACAATGACTAATCTGCACAGGTCCCGACCCGCTCAAGGTAGGTATAAAGTGGGAGATCTTTCTTTAGGTGCAGGTTGCTTCTTTTACATTCCATCTTAGGGATGTTCCAGTGCTATCCCATTGTGATGTCCAGGGGCATCTTAGAACTTACACAGTGTACTAATGCCCTTTGAAGCAATGTTTACTCAAGAAAGAGATGGGCTCCAATGGATAAACGCTTTACCTCTTCTTTGAAAAAAAAAACATAAGATTGATTGTAAGAAGACCATAGGATTGCATAATTAGTCAAACACAGAAGACATCAAGTCAGTAATGCACCTTTTATTGAATTATCATGTTAAAGCTTATTTCCACAATCTCATTCCTTGGATCATATTGCCTAATAGTAAGAAACATATTAATCACTATTCTTTAAGTAATGATATTACCTTTCTCTACTGATTACTAC